CAGAGCTTCAACTGTTCTTGTGTGTTTGTTTCAAAGCAATTGTTTCCTGCCTAGAAACAGGTTCAACTGGTCTATATGCTTCAACAAGCAAAAACTGCTTTGCAAAGTGGAAACAGTGGACATAAAAAGCTCATCACTGCAATAGGCAAAATAGTTGCAGCCCCATCTCTAAAGATTTCAGTTCAGTTTCATTCACAAACATAATTAACTGAAATAACAACACACATCATGAAAAGAATGACATTTGATAAGTACATTAATTATGGGGGCTAATACAAACCTGCAACAGGCCTTACCTGTATTCAACAGTACAGCAAAGTTATTAACAGCTGAGACAGTATAATGTACAAAAACTAATTAATAAACGAACACTAACTGTTAGAATAACTTACACTGTTGAGGTTACACTGCTTGGAATATATTTTAAAATAATCAAACCTATTAGAAATATCTGAATATACTTTAGCATTGGGAAAATTAAATGTATTTTTGACTGTTTACACTGCAACTGCCAACGCTATTACTGGTAGTTAATATGAAAACTCATAATAAGGAATTTATTTACAGTCTCAGTAAACACATGACTGTTAACAGATTGTAATCAACACCAGAGCAAACAGCAATGTGCTCCAGCAATCTAAATACTCTCACTCTTTCTCTTCTCAAGCAGACTGATAGGCAGTCCCTGTTTAGACAGCACATATATACATTTCTGCACTTGAAACCTGGCTCTGTTTTCTTAATCTTAATGTCAGGACAAGCCTGAGCATGGGAAACTCCTCTCTTACTGTCTGCAACAACACCACTGTGGGCACGGAGAAATGTTTGAGTTTAGTAAGATTCTTGGATATAATGTAAGAGAGGGCAAGTACTGTAAACTGCCAGTCAAATGTTTTTGAACACCTGGAGCTTCTCATGTTTTATTTAATCACTAATTATTAGTTATCGCCACAGACTAAGCAAAATGATACCGAACAGCTATTAATTAAGGAAGCTTAAATCTTAGTGGAGTTTATTAACTGCTCGCTCTCAGATCCTAATGGGACTCTAAATGAGTACTTTATTAAAGGCAGACACACTTGGAAGGTAAACCTGTTAAACCTATAGATAAAAGACTCATGGTGCTAATATCAACTGTAAAACATAAGTAAGTGGTGTGCTACAAGTGCCTAATTAGAGTAGTTGAGTAGAGAAGAGTTGAGTAGAAGACTTTGACCTTTTCCTATCAGACTAGATCTAGATTGTTCCAATAAAAGAAAGTAATTTAACATCTAACATCTCTCGACTAAAAAAAAAGAATAATTAACACTGCTCTATTCATTTCTCAAATTCACAGGTTAGAGTTTCATTTTCGTTTAAACAAAAATGCTAAAACATAGGTTGTTCAAAAGATTTTGACTGGCAGTGCATATCACAAGATTTTATATGTACACTTAAAAGTAATAATATTTTCACACTAATAAATACTGTACAGTATATGTAGTACAAATATCTGTCCTCTGTGTTTAAACAAACAAAGGCACCAGTCTGTGCAAAAGAGATTGGGACAATGATAACCTAAAGCCAGAACTAATAGTGTACTTTCCAGGAGAAGCCAAAATAGCCTTACAGTATGTTCAAGTACATCAGAAGTTAATTGCCAAGGTTCTCCAAGTCAGGTAGGTTGTCTTAAGTGTAAAAACGAAAGAGAAAAGTAGGAGTGGGAAGGGTTTATGAGTAGCAGATCATTCACATGTTGATACTGAACACACATTTGTGGACAGAGAGGACAGTGTAGCGTGACTTCTGAGTGTGAAACCCACCACACAACTGTATTGTGAAAACATGACCCAGTAGTGGTCAACAGAGACGCTCTCGGCTGATTGCTCCAGGCTGTAAATATTGTTGTTTCTGCAAACAAAGATGGGTTGATTACCTCAAGTTCTACCACAACCCATCTCAAAAGCCCACTACTCCCTCTGACAAACAAATCACTCGTTCACTGGGACGTATTGTATCGCTTTTCTGCCAGTTTATGGGTACTATGGCAACAGAAACGCTGCACTGACACAAGCGAACTTTCGTGAGTGTGGGAGTGTAAAGTCAAAAAGGAAGCCCCTTCTCCGATGCATGCAAACTCGCTTCCCGGGAGTGGTTAGTCTGAGAAATCATCAGGTGGTGAGATAAAGCTCAGATTTGTAACACACACACTCAAGACCCCATTTGACTGTGCCTGGTTTGAATGCTGATTTGACTCTAAATGTAAAGCACACGCAAGGTCTCCACTAGGCCTTCGTAAACAAATCCATTCCCATTTAGGATCTGTGTGGGTCCAGCTGCCTGTGTTTGTATAGGTGTGATTTGTCTTTGATTTCCATAAACCCATTTTGTCTCATTCAACACAGAGCCACATAACTCATCATAACAAAAAGGGAGGAAGGAAACAACGCATTAACCAAATTGGATAATGAGACATATGTTTGATTCCAGGCTAGGTTTGGATACTGACTTCAAATGACTAATAGACATTTCTCTTTAGTATCTCTCAAGTATGCATGATTCTACGCATGCTGCAGATCAGGTGTCCTATACTTGACTAACAGCCTGCATGCTTCATCTGCAAATATTACTATTTACTAAAGGAAGCTATAACCTTGTCCCTGGCCAAGAATAACACACGATCATCAATCATAAAACAGCAAGCAGAGACATAGAAACATCTAATGTTACACTTGCAAAATACAGTAAAAATAGAAGCTAACTAAGAGTGAATTCACTGTGGCAAGTAAGAGCTTGTAGCTTTATCACCTCCTGCACATTTTTTTGAAAACTAGTTGTTACAGACTACCTTATTCATGATTGTGTTCTGGATGAGAAAACACAAACTAACTTTTAAAAATTAACTTGGGTACAAGATAGCAAAAAATATTGCTTGCTTTGCATCCAAAATCCATTGGTTTCTTAAAAAATGACCATAGAGTATATATTTCTTATTTAAATACTTTTTATCTGAAGCTAAGAACATTTAAATTTTGAACAAATTATGCTAAGCTTGTAATATTTAAATACCAATAATTATACTAGGTCTTATACTCATGTCAATGATAGTATTTGTAAACTTTGAAATGAATGAAGTGCTATAAAATCTTTCTGACCAAAACGTTTTGGTCATGTTGATTGACTTCAATGCTGGTAGCTTTTACTGCACTCAAGGCTAACAATGAGACTGGCTTCAAAGAAGCAGATTTGCTAGAAGCTGACATGCTAAGAAGCTGACACAAAATAGCAAAAATACAATAAAAATATGGATTCACTGGACTGTCAATCCATTTATGCAGGATGATCAAATAATTATGTAGAAAATATAACTACCTATTTACAATGTTCAGTTGTAAACAACTGTTATAAACAACTGTTTACAATCTTCAGTTTTCAATCGTGTAGCTAATTATTTCAGGTATGTTTTTCAATAACTGAAAAAATCAGCTACATGCTTGAAAATTGAACATTGTAGAAATGTATAGATATGTAATTAATGTTTTTAATATGCTTGTTGCCAAGAACAAGAATTTTAAAAGAATTATATATTAATGCACTAAATGTATTTTGAACATTAGACAAATCTAATGCAAAACCTTTTATATTGATTTTGTGATTCAAAATGAAAGCGCTTCCTTATGATTTAGAGGTTGAGAATGCTCATGCAAAAAAAGGACTTTCTGTTTAGCTGCGGACAGATCATGATCAAGCTCCTCCTACACATAAACTCCTATACCTGCCTTCAGCCAGACTAAATCACATAAACTATAGCCAGATTAATAGATTACAACAGTGCCTTGGGCACTGGCAGCTAGCTTGACATCTTAACACATTCAGGAACAATTGTCCTGTCAATCAACTGCATACAACATGTAATGTGAAATAATTGTGAACAGTTTACTAATGTTAAGTGCATAACACATTTCTACATTAGTACTGTTCCTACTTGACATGTTGTACATGCCAAAACATGGAATCATGCTGTCTTTAAAGCTGTGATCTCATTGTCAGATGGATCCCTTGCTTTTAGATAATTGCCATGTTGAAACAGAGAGGTGTAATATTTCTACTGAAATAAAACCTAAGCAAAGACAAAGCAAATGTGAGAAAGTTATTTCTACAAATAACTCCACAATAGTGGAGTGTAAATTATAACTAAATTATTTTGGCCTGTGGATATGATAATACTTTCTCCTGAGCTGTAATTCCACAACACAAATATATTGGAGATGATAATTGGGGTGGAGGAAAGAAGAGCTGGTGTCTGCAGGGGAGGCGCGTGCCGATTGCACTGCTGACAGCTCCATACGGAGTGAGAATGGCATGCAGTATTTGTGAGCTGGTGAAGGATCTCACAGCAGTCTCTCCCCATGAGCTGCTGCTGTTTCACTGTCACCTGTGGCCACACACACTCTCTCACACACACACACACACACCTTACAACAGATTAGTTGTATAAAACTGTCAACGCTACAAAATGCACCATAGACAAAATTGCAGGCACTATTTTCCAAATCTCCACTTTATAAAGCAGGATCTAGTAAGGCTGTTTGTTTGTGTCTGCTTCAGAATGTGAGTGCTACACGCTAGCTCTGTACTGCTGATTACTACAACCAGACAGACCACTGTGAATGTCATAACCCCCAATTCTCCATTCCACAGTATGTGTATTCCTGTTTCTCTCAGCTGAAACACTTTCTCACAACACTACAATCTCTAGCCATCCCTTTTATAAAATTGTAACGAGTATGAGAAAGACCAATTATAATGACACTAAAAATATTGATGATGTTAGTAACAACAATCATGTTGTTCTTCTTTTGGCTGCTCCCATTAGCGGTCACCACCACAGCAGATCATTGGGCTGCATATTTTGATTTGGCACAGTTTTTACACAGGGTGCCCTTCCCAACGCAACCCTCCCCAATTTTATACGGGCTTGGGACCAGCACTGGGAGTGCACTGTTGTGTGCTGGGGTTGGTTCCACGGCCAGGAATCGAACTCAGGCCATGGCAGTGAGAGTGCCGAGGCCTAACCAATAGTCCTCCAGGGAGCAACAACAACAACAATAATAATAAGAAGAAGAAGAAGAAGAAGAAGAAGAAGAAGAAGAAGGATTTTAGTTTAAAAATTGATTGCTTTGAGTACAGCAAACTTATAAAGAATTAGGTGTTTATTTAACTTATTCTTTGCTACACTTACCTAAATCCACTAAATTAAATTTAAAGAACTAATTAATTCAATTTTGAAATGCTCTTTTGGTTATAAAGCTATGTTAAAAATAACATGTGAACATGTTATGATAACATTTTATGATAACGTGAGAATATGTGAAACTCCACCCAGGACCCTGAAGTGGTGAGGCGCCAACGCTACCCACTGCACCAATGAAATAAGATGTTTATTTTATTTTATTCAAGGTTTAAAGGTAACTTTTCTCACCATTCAGTCATGATAGTCACTTATCCAGACCTTTATATTTGATATTTTAAGGGATTTTATGAAACTGGACCTTTATAAATTTTACCTGAATACCTTTGGCCTATATTGTTCACTATTTGTTAACTAACTGAATTGAAGTTAAGTGACCAAACACACCAACAACAAATTTTTGTATGAGGTGTTGAGGAGAAATTTGAAAGAAAGTTTGGGTCTAGGTTTAAACTAATATTACTTGAGTAATTAAAACTTGACTCACATGAGTTGTGCTTACTTAAAAATTTCACATACAAATGAAGTAACTCAATCAGACTGAGTTCTTCAAACAATGATCAGTTGCTGAGTTCTCATAACTTAATTCAGATAATATGACATTTGAACTCATTTGAATAGTGATTACTCATTTCATCTAATCATTTCACTTCCACAGTGAATAGTAACCAGATGGGCACCAAATGAAAAATATAAACTAATGGCTTCACTTTCTAGCCATGAACTTACAGTACATATATTTTCCACTACCAGGTAGGATTAGTGCATGAAATGTTCAAATTCTCAAACATCTCAATGGGTACATATATTCAGTATGTTTTATCATTCCTCATTAAAACACTCAAACACACACATGCAAGAGAAAGCAAACCTATGTACACACCAATAAATGGTGTAGGATCAGCAAGTTAAAGAAACATAGGCATACAATAATGCACAATGTACATATAGCCACAGCTGAAAGCTGCATGCTTACCCCTCTTTGTGAAATATGGTTCTGAAACAGTCCCCCAGGCCTTTATAACTGTTTGGGTCACTCACTCCTCGCTGAATTTGGAACCTGAGGGAACATGTTGACAGTTCATTACTGATGATATTTATTCATTTTTCTTTAAATATCACCACATTTATTATTAATTATAGCAAAACAATTTACCAGAAATCATGCAGGCTATTGGAAAGGTGTTTCTCAATATGTGCTTGCTAATTCATATAACCAAAAAAAAAAAACAAAACCCTGAGATTGACATGTTGTAAATGAAGGTAAAGGTGATTCTAGGCTTTGTTATTTAACTCATCATAATAAAATTGCTTTTAAAATGTGATACTTTGTATCATATTTGTAATAAAATATGTTACTTTGTACACCAATACGTTGCTCCCGAAATTCAGGAAGTAAATGAAATCTACTATGATCTCACACGATATATTTAAGGTGTGGCAGGCACATCGATGCAGGAGACTATGCATTAAGCCATTTTTGGATAGAAAATATAGAGTATATAGTCTACAGATTTTGTTCTGGATGACTCATGACAACATTTTATAATCTCTGGGTTACAGGAACTTTAATACTTCATTTTGAATTTTGAGTATTTTGACTCTTTAATATTAAAGGGCTAATTTTATTAGTAGTGCCCAGATTTCCTCTTGGGGCTCAATATCCATCCATCCATCCATCCATCCATCTTTGTTTTAGTAAGTTTTGTGTCTGATTGTTAGAGAGAAATGCACAAATACAGACTGCTCAATTTGTAATATCACAATCTAATTGGATACTCACGCTCTATCTGCCAGTTTCTGCTCTTAAAACAGAAATTAATTTGTGTCTGCCTTTTTGCCTTTTCTGTTGGTTTCAGGATAAAATGAATCAAATGTGTTGTAATATATTGTATATCTCAACTATTTTAGGATTTCACTGTATGATTTTATTATGTTTTATAATAATATATTCTGTACACATCACAGTTTTGTTTGGTAAACTCAGTTATCTACTCAGGTAGAGTGTGGATATCAAGTGTAGCAATAGTTACTATAGAGGTACTATAGAAATGAGTGAATCCACCAGGTACTTTTTACAACTGGTTATCAAACAAATATTTTTTTGTAACATGTATTAAATAAGTCAACATAAAGTATTTAGTAAGTTCTCGCAAGTACTAAGCTGATCCATTGACAGCTGAAAGAAAACCAAGGAATAAAGGAACAGACTAATCTGTGTACAAGTCTCAAACATCCTCTGATCTCTAAGTGGCTCCAGAGCCTATTCTAGAACCTCAAGCCCAATGGAGGAATCAAACAGTTACTTAACCCATATTTTCCACTCAGCCCTGTCTCCCCTATAGCAGGCCTTCAGGCTGCAATCTCTACTGTTTACTGCTAGTAACTTTTTAGTTACAACTCTGCAGTTACATGTATATTTATAATATAATAGTTAATGGACCTTTTTGGAGCTACAAACCTGCTAGTAACTTGCTAATAAACATAATCTAACTCTGTGTAAATGTTAACCTTAGGTTGCACTTGGAGATAGTTTTTACTGCATTATCCAATTTCATTGTACTGATACTGATGAAAGGAGACCTGCTGGTTAGATTTTACACATCCTGTTATATATATATATATATATATATATATATATATATATATATATATATATATATATATATATATATATGCTGCATTGAACTTTTCTAATTAGATTAGATCTGGATAGTTCCAATAAAATAAATTCATTTCTCAAATATATCGACTAAAATGCAACTTTAAGCACTTTTTCACCCCTATTAAATGCTTTACAAGAAAAAGGCAACATGAAAAATTGCAGGTTTACATGTGAACGGTGGAGTTTGTTTTTAGTATTTGTCTCATGTTGAATTCTGTCATTTGTTGAATGGTGTAGAAATGAATTAATGCAATGTGAATTGTGCTTATGATTTATATATACAGTACTGTGCACAAGTCTTAGGCACATGCAAAGAAATGCTGTAGAGCAAAGATGCCTTCAAAAATAACGAAACTAAATGTTTCTACATTAAAAAACAAATACTATAAAGAGCAGTAAAAAGTAATAAATGAAACTAAGTCAATATTTGGTGTGATGATCCTTCGCTTTAAAAAAAATTAGTAGTCTCGGGTACAATTTGTGCAGTTTTATAAGGAAATTAGCTGTAGGTTTTACTGAGCATCTTGCAGAAGCAGCCACAGTTCTTCTGGAGACTTTGACTGTCACACTTGCTTCTTATTTTTGCAGCAAAACCCAGCAGGCTTCATTATGTTTTTTTGTCTGAAAAGTGTCTCTTATGTAATATGCTGCTTTCTTTACTGACATACAAACATTTTTCTGTAACATTTAATTTTGTGCTGGAAAACTAATATTTGGAATTCTAAAATGTTTTTGTACTGAATCAATAATGTAGAAGTCATAAAATAAAAATCTATAACAAAGTTTGTACTAAGAAGAGTATTGATCTTAGAAAAGATCAATACATTTTATCACCCTAATTAATTTGTAGCACACCACATAATATTTATGTTTTACAGTTAATATTAGCACCATGAGTCTTTTATCTATAGGCTTAAAGGGTTTACAATCCAAGTGTGCCTGCATGTAATAAAGCACTTGTTTAGAGTCTTACTGGAATCCATGAGTAAGCAGTTAATGCACACTAAGACTTAAGCTTCCTTACTTATTGTTATTCTGTACCACTTTGTTTAATCTGTGGCAAATAATTATTAATTAGTAATAAAACACAAGAAACTCCAGGTGTTCTAAAATGTCCTAGCGAATGTCCTTGGCATATAGTCTGTGGAACTGTACTGGAGGGATGGGGCACTATGGGTAATTCTGGTAACTTTGCAGGCCATGGTATATGATTTATATCCTTTCTCATATTCATGAAACGATTCAGTGTTTCCTCATTCTCTGTCAATATGGGAATTATCATCCTGCAAGAGAGGATAAAGGCCATCATTCGGAATAACTTTGCATTGATTTGTAGTGACTCTTCCCTCTAAAGGCTTGCCTATAAACAAAATGCCCACCACAGCATAAAAGAGCCAGTAGTTTTTCCTTTAATTTTTCACCTGTCTTTTAATATACAACACACTTATTGTCAATTTTTTTCAACTGTTTTGCAGATATACAGTTAACAATTGACCATACCCCCATATTTTGCTAAATATAACCTCATCCAACAATGGAAAGGGACCACGATAGGACCAAATGCTATAGACCATATACACAGTACAGTGAAAATGACATGGTAGTGCATGGTAGTATGCATGGCATTGGTACAAATGTAGGTGTAGGTGGAGCAATTGTTGCTGGCCTCAGTGTCCTTTTTGAGTTGACAATAATCAACCAATTAATGAGCAGAAACTGACTTTGATTAGTTTTACTAACAAGTCTTTAGTCTGACTTTGTTTCATTTAGTTTAACACAAATTATACATGGAAAAATTTGAACTACTTTCTTGAAGTCTACACCTACAGGTGGATTAACAAGGTAGATGTATCTAAAAAAGTATCCAGTAAATGTACGATTTTTAAAAGCCCCAGCAATACATGGTGCACTTACATTTTACCAGTGCAACACTCACTAATATGCAGCTACCATTTCAGTGCCACTGCTGTACTGAGAATGATGCATACATTGTTGGGTCATGAGGCAACACTGAGCAAAATTAAAAGCATTTGAGGTCAAAATAAAAATAACCAAATTCAAACTTCATTATGTGAGAGGAACAAAAAAGAATGAGAAAGGCAGTTTAGGGGATGGGGGTGGTATGGAGAGGAGCAAAGATTCCCCTCATATGGTTTTGACTGCCAAGTCAAGAGGTC